CCTCCCTATCTCCTCAAATCTTCCTTTTAAATTCTTGAAAATTTTTGATTTAATTTTTCGAATTTCTCGAGTTGAAAAAAAAAGCCGATGATCGCTATTGCCAAACATAATCAACTGCTTGCTAAAATGTGTCAGGTGGCATTTTATCTTTTAGTTAATGAAAATTTGCTTTCTCAGAAATAAAACTGTAACCGTCGAGAAATATGTCAGTCAGTTAATGATAAAATTTCCATCTCCACCATTCTCCACCTCGCGCTTCTTCCTTTGTAACCTATGACCTATTAATCATATATCGGAAGTGGAATTTTTGCTCACATTTTTATGTTGTAGATTTTACTACGGTAACACTTTAAATACATTTCATTAAAGTAATTAATGATTAACTACAAGTAATAAATTTTTACTCCTTTTAATTAACATTTCTAAAATGAATTTCATTATTGTTATCAATCAAATAATGTGAATTAACTGAAATTAAAACGAACGATACTTACTAATATGTAATTTTGAATTTTTTTTTCTAAATAGTTTCTTATAGGATAATTCCATTATCGTTAGCTATCAAATTAGATGATATAAAAGTGAAACAATTGATAATTAATTGATAAGAAATTTTTACTAATTTTCAATCAATTTCTTTTGAAATGATTCTATTATTGTCATCAATCAGATGATTGTAAAAGTGAAATGAGAGAAACATTACTGATAAGCTAGCAATGCTTTCAGTACTTTTAATTCTTTCTAAACTTGAAAACAAATTTATCAATTTATTTTAAAATGTTTGAAGATATTTTCATTTTAACTTTTTCTCACTGATGATAACTATTCTATTTTCAAATTCCTCATTTTTCTTTTAGGTATTACTATTCTAAAGATAATATAAAATGATAAGAAATGGTTAAGCATTTTTTTTCCCCCCCCCCCCCCATTTCTATCAAATTTTCAAAATTTTAATTTGAATCAAAAATGATAATAAATGCTTTAATTAGCTAATAAGCTCTTCTATAGTATAATTCAATTCATTATCGAGAAGTTGCCATATTTATTCACATTTTGCATTCTTTTTTTTTTAGCAAAATTATATGGAAAAGCGTTAGGACGGAAATATTTACACATAAGCAAACATATGTGTAAACATAATTGATGAAAAGGGAAAAAGCTCAAATATTGGCAGAGTTGGTAATGATGATGATAATGGTGATAATGATGATGATGATGATAATGATAATGATGATGATGTTGGTGATGATGATGATGATAATGAATTTGTTTTCATTTTCGTGTCTTTTCAATTATTATGATCAACATTGTCCAGTTGTCACCGATCGCCATATAACAAAATAGCTAATCCCTTATTCATCACCATGGCGTTTTTTAATCCATTCCATCCATCATGTATTTATTTCATTTACTCATTCTTTTTTTTTTCTTTTTTTAAATCATTTTGAATCTTTACAAAAGTTTGACTTACTATAATCTAATTTAAAATGTTACTAAACTGAAAATGGTCATCGAATTTTCGCTCTTTTCGTTTTTTTTTTTTTTTGGTTACTTTTGAGTTTTAATTTTTTTTCGACAAATTATTAATTTCAGTTAATTAGTAAATTACCAATTCCAAATCTAATTGATTTTTTTTTTTTAAATGAGAATATATTTAGGGGATGGGAAAAATAATGCTGTATTTTCATGGATTTCAATAATTTTAAGTAATTTTTAAGTCATATTTCTTTTCAAATATTGTTTGGAATTTTTTATGCCTTAAATTTCTCTCGTATATGTATCAATTCCGCTTTCTTTGATAGATTATTGATGAATTGAAAAATTTGAAAAGATTATTAAAAAATTACGAAAAGTTAGATATTTTA